TTTTTTGGTTTCATGTGTGTTTTAATGTTTCCGAAGCGAAGCGAGGGCGGGTCGTTAGTGTTTCTATAAAATGGCGTATAAGATTAAACATAAAAAGTTGAGGACTTTAGTCAGTTTTTTGCGAGTTTTAATTATATATTAAGCTTAATTATATTAAGATAATTAAAGCTGTTTTTTTTTTGGGACGTCCGACGTTTAGTGTATCACGGTCACTAATGACTCCGCGACTGTCAGTCGTTCTCTCTCTCTCTTTTTCTCTCTCTCTTTCTCTCTCTCTCTCTATCTCTCTCTTTCTCTCTCTCTCTCTCTCTAATGCTACTCATCCCACATGGTGGTGGTCAGCTTTCGTCGGTCATCCGTGACCACGATAACTGTATAGTATCTAAAACGTCGGAAATAATATTATAATGGCAATAAATATGTGACATTGAGCCGTATGAGTAGTTTTATAAATAGTAAAATTTCATTATTAGCTCGCTGGGCGTTTTGATTGTCAATACTATATTATAGACACAGATTTCTCCGTAAAACATAGAACTAACACATCGAACCACTAGAACTATATTCATAACAAACAATAATCATTTTGTTTGTTATATTTACTCTCTCGGAAACCAGAAACCTTATTAAGCCGTTATCAATCAAAATGAAACGGGAATAGACTGACAGTATTATGAGGAAATCTTTCAAGTTTCCCGAGCGCTATCAAAGTTTTTCCAACTCCGGGACAGTCAATAAAAACAAAAGGACGATAGCCTCGCATACAGAACAATTATTTTGCGAGCAAACCTTCTAACTATTTCGGCACAAGAACAGAGAAGAGCAAAGCAAACATAAGTTATAAGACTATATTTTTACTCGTAAACCGAGGGTAGAATCGAAGGAACAAACAGCTGGCTTATTTGTTTTGTTGTACATGCCTTGATACGTGCTCCATGAATTTGTTACTTTATTTGATTTCCGCGATCAGTTTTCTTGTATGAACATTTAGTTTTTTTTATATCCGGGAAATGTTTAGAAAGTATCTTGAGCTCCAATGAAACCTGCTGAGTGATATTAGATGATTTATTGGTTTATTTTTAAGGTTTATAGGTTTATTGATTTATATGATTTCCTGGCTTGATATTTCTTTATTTTCTAACTATCTTCGTAGCCTGTCTTACTAAAGCTCATGGCTCATTCGGTATCGAACAGCGGAGTTTATTGACCTCAAAATCTATATTTTTTGTTGATTTAAGCACTTATAATCGTAATGACGACCATGGACTCAGATATCAGTGTTACGACTGTAAAAAATTGCAAGAAACGGAGGGGGATATCTTTGAAATATTAGTACATATAAATGAAAATAGTAACAAAAACAATAACAACAATAATAATAAAAATAAAGACTTTTAATCGGACAACAGATATACAATTATGTGTCTTATACTATTGCACTTATACTGCCATATCTGTATGTATGTTACAGGTGTCTGAAAGTGGCACCTGTGACAGAGAAGCTGAGGAGTGCACGTTTGGGATGGTATGGACATGTGATGAGACGAAATGAAAATGAGGTTGTTAAGAGAGTGTTAACTATGAATGTGGAAGGATTTAGAGGAAGAGGTAGACCTAAGAAGAAATGGATGGATTGTGTGAAAGACGATATGGGTAGGAGGGGAGTGAGCGAAGAAATGGTATATGATAGAAGAGTATGGAAGGAGAAAACATGTTGCGCCGACCCCAGGTGACTGGGAGAAGGGCAGGATAATGATGAATGATGAATGATGATCTGTATGTATGTTACAAAATTAAATATTTTCGGTTATTGTTCCTTCTTTAGTTTCTGTAAGTCCGATTGCTAGTTGGCAAAGGCCTACTACGCCAACCTACTCCATTCTGATCTCTCTCTGGCTACTCTACTCCATGTTAATCCTGAAACCTGCCTGATATCATCGTCCCATCTTTTTTGTTGTCTACCTCTTTTCCTTTTACCTTTCCTTGTTACCAATGTGTACTTATTTTGCTCCATTGGTCCTTTCCTCTGACCATGTGTCCCGCTCAACATGGTAATACAGAAAACATTACACATTTTCCTAATCGTTACTTGAGTCCGACTAGAAAAAGAACAGGTCTACAGTGCCAAAAACAGGTGAAAAATTTATTCAGTACTTGCATAATTACGTATTTATAGACTATATTTTGTCACTTCAATGACATAATGTTCACACTATAACATATTTTTCACGTTCATTCTTGTTCTTTATATTGAACTTGAATATCGTTGAGATATGAGTTCGATATCTATTAATATTATATGATTGATATTATGTATGACTCTATTGAATTGCAACATGTGGGTTAACTTGTTGAATACAAAGGTAGTTAGTTTTTAACTAAAGGTTGTGATCTTCTGTCTGCAGACCTTAAAACTTTTAATAGAAATAGGCAAGAATCTTAAACAGCTCACGTGACGTGAATACTCTAACATTCAGAAGCTACGTAGCTCAGGCAATTGAGCTTCAGAACACAAAATTTTGTTGTTTACAGAACAACTCGACACAAAATTAAACTAAAACCACTTTTGGGTATCGTTCGTGAGCACAGAAACTGTGTGGTATTCGAAGAATGCAAACTAAAAGCTAAAGGAAGGAATGGAAGCTAAAAGCGTTCACTGCGAAGAAGGACCTCTTTATCATGGCGCCGCAATTCCAAGGAGTATCCCTGCAACCTTGCGAGAGTATCGGGATACTTAGGGTTGACATTTCGAGCGATGTCCAATTTCGGAGTAATTTGGAAAGCAAAGTCAAGTTGGCGTCCAAAGACTTTTCTTTTATAAAGCACAAGTCCGGCCTCGCGTGGAATGCTGCTCCCATCTCTAGGCCGGGGCTCCCAAATACCAGCTTCTTCCATTTGACTCCATATAGAAGAGGGTCTTTCGGATTGTCGATAATCCCATTCTCACGGATCGGTTGGAACCTCTGGGTCTGCGGAGGGACTTCGGTTTCCTCTGTATTTTGTACCGTATGTTCCATGGGGAGTGCTCTGAGGAATTGTTTGAGATGATCCTCTCATCTCCTTTTTATCATCGCACCTCCTGCCATCGGAGCAGAGTTTATCCATATTATCTGAAACCGCTGCGTTCATCAATAGTGCGTTTCTAGAGGTATTTTTTGCCACGTACCATCCGGCTATGGAATGAGCTCTCTCCTCCACGGTGTTTCCCGAGCGCTATGACATGTCCTTTTTCAAAAGAGGCTTGTGGAGAGTATTAAGCGGTAGGCAGCGGCTCGGCTATGCCCCTGGCATTGCTGAAGTCCATGGGTGACGGTAACCACTCACCATCAGGTGGGCCGTATGCTCGTCTGCCTACAAGAGCAAGAAAAAAAAAACTAAAACAGTGAAAAGTCTTAAAATAATTTTAATAAAATGTGCGATCCAGCTGAAAGCCAGACTTGAACACTGTCTATCTAAATAGAGGTATTGGTCGCAGCAACAGTAGTAATCTGTAGTATAATACATAAGTGAAGCAAAAACTTTGCATCCCTTTTTACGAAAATTTCGCGGACGGAGGAGTATGAAATTTCCCACAGAGAATATAGAGAAGGGGTGCAAAATGATAATATATTTTTAAAATATTGCCTAAAAATAAATTAAATCACTAAAAGAAACATTATACATATTACCATGTATTTGACACAACACATACATATAAATATACTCTTTGTTTATTGTCAATTGTCAAATTTTTGTTATTGTACAAAGTCTGTGGTCAAATTGAGAATACTCGTAGATTAATATTGTTTGTCTTTAATATTATTTATCTACAGTGTAGTCTTGGCAAAGTATTATTCTTGGACAATAATGTTTAAACTTATAATTTTAACTAATTATAGTCGAATTTTCGGCTACTGGACTTTAATGATTCTGACGTCACGCTTCTATTGTCGTGAAATGCATTCAGTTTTATAGTTGTTCGGCCTAGGTCCAAGCTCGTCCATAAAGAGATAAACAACTTCGAGACTTAACAATAACCCGAAACTTTTCCACTAAAGACCACAGCTTAAAAGTTACCTGTTTCTTAACAAAGCCTTCAGAATGTCGATACAAAAATTTTATTAAATTATCATCCGTTTTTGTTTGCAGTTCAGATTTCAATACGGTATCGTGAATGCTTTACGAATTAGAGAACACTATTTAGTTTTCAGAAGAAAAGCAGAGTCCTAGATCAGATAAACAGAGTCCTAACAATTATATGCTCAGTTTGCTTTCTTAATTAGTACTCCTCTAATTTCTATCTATAACGCCGGTGTTAGAGCATTTTGTAAGTCTGGTCCGTCCCGCAATTCAGTCTACATCTGCCGTAAGCTAATCAGTTTTAAAAATAATCTGATAATTTTACTGAAGCCGACGAGAGTTTAACGCTGTTCTTTGAAATTGGCGGTACTGTCGTTGTCATATGCTTTTCTGTAATCGGCCAAAGACAGACACTGGTATTTGAATCGGTCATATCTGAACATCTATAAGGTCTGTATCCAGAACGGGATTGGCGTAATCGCGATGAGACTCATGCCACAATGGTTTCAGCGTGTTACCTTATCATACAGATCCTAATTTCAGTGCAATATGAATTCAAATCAACTATAAATAAATAAATAAATATTTACTAACAATCACGCCACGTTAACTGGTCCCGTGATAAGTTCGTAAAGAACTTGTGTTACAGGTACCAGATAACGGATATAAATGTAAGTTTTTTATTATACACATACATATATTTTAATATACATCCATAACCCTGGAAAAGACATTTATATTTATCATACAAATATCTTCCCTTGGCGGGATTCGAACCCGCGACCCCCTTGTGTAGTGACCATGTCACTTTACCACTACACCAGACGGCCGTTATGACAAACTTGTTTTAATTTTTTTGTCAGCAAAGCGTATGATTGTCAAAGACCCCACACCACATTGAGTGTTCTTGGGAGTTGCTTAATTAGATTTCGTTTTGACAGCGTGAAGACTGAAGCCACATCCAACGGCGCCCTCTCTCGGCTGTACATAGCGAATGCAAATAGGAATGATTCGGGCAACTACACCTGTTCGCTGGCGGATGTTGCAACTTCCGCTGTTTCAGTTCACGTTTTGAGAGGTAAGCAGTTGTTCGCAGTTTTGTCAGTTGTGCATCTCGTTGACTCTGTAGTGCATTAATTAGCGCCTTTGACTGCTGGACTCATGCACTGTAGCTTCTTTCGGGCAAACGTTGGATTTATAGGTTTGTTTGCTCTTTGTGTCCGTGCTTAATAGATGTATAGATTTCAATATATATAGGTACATTTCTATATATGAGTCTCCTGGAAACCGGTACAGGGAATTCAGGTTTGGGGGCAAGATGATCGTGTGTGACCGTGCGTGACGCATAAGTCAAATAAACATGATTATAATTTTTGAAAATCCAAATAATTTCTAATAAATTTGGGAAATTATTGGAACAGCGCATTGTAAGCTCGTGTGGGTAAGTGTAAGTAAGTAGCGGTCAGCCATTGTATGTATAATAGAATAGAAGTGGCCAAAAAAATAAGTCGCCTGATCTATTCGTATCGAGCGATGCGACCGATGTTCAAATCCCCGCAGACAGGAACCGATTTTTCTAATACCTACTTAGGTCATGTTCACAAATGAATCAATGTAATTTACTTACATACTTTGAGACGTAGACCTCAAGTCTCAAGGTTGGTAACGATATTCACGGGTTTCAGTAACCCCTTAACACGAGGAGGGTTGAGGTTGATTCGACGTCAAAGTCTTAAATTTATTCAATAAATCAAATTTGTAATCTGTCTCCATCATTCACGATATCAACGTAAAATATTATCCAAATCGTTACCAATTTTGTGCCGATTAAATGGGATCCCAATATTTTTCCGTAATGAATTCCAAACGAACTGGTATTTTAAAATGATTTAACCTTCGCCGTTCCACCTGATAATCTATTTTCGAGAAACATCATGAATAATTTATTGCGGGGAATGAAAAATTCGCGGAGAAGGCCGAAAATGTGGTTTGAACTGTGGATTTCTTGGATGGTCTTGTGTCGTCAATTACGTGAGGCTCTTTTAATCGCACTCATGCAAAGCAGATGAGTGCATCAATCACTTGGTGATGAAGTAGCAAATTCTAGTATCTAGAGGTGTAGGTTAAGGTGGGAGCACGAAAAGCTAACGAGACGATCTCACAGCCAACCTGGTGCTAAGTTATTACTAAAGCCCATAGACATCTACGACGCAAATGCGCCACCCACCTCGAGATATAAGTTCTAAGGTCTCAAGTATAGTTACAACGGCTGCCCCACCCTTCAAACCGAAACGCATTACTGCTTCACGGCAGAAATAGGCGGGCTGGTAGTTAGTACCTACCCGTACGGACTCACAAGAGGTCCTCCCACCTGTAAAAAAGCGAGTAATATATTACAATTAATACAATTTATAATAAATCGTGAAATTTTCGCAGGTGAAAATCCCCTCGCGATGCAACGTGGAGCTGCGTCTGCGTTATCCCATCCACTGGCGTCTGCGGTCGTTTTATTCATCAGCTGACGTTTGGCCGGCGCTTGTCTGCGCCATCTATAGTTCCAAACACCACCGTTTTTTACAAATCAAATTAGTTTTAAAACTTGTTAAAATGTTGTGATGGGCAATTTCATTGTGATTGTGTCTTTAGCCAGTGGCGGTAAACGAGTTATTGGAATGTAATTATCGGTAATTCCAAAAGCAATGTTAATGCATTTCTAATAAGATGTCGAGTTAATCGTTTTCCTAATTTTAACTTTTAGTTGTATCGTTTTTTTATTTCGATCAGCGATTTTTTTGGGATTTTGAATGGATTTTATTGAAAAGATTGAAACCAATTCATCCTAGATGCCAAGATCCTAGTTTTTGCGGTGATGTATTTGTTAAAGTGTTTTAAGCAATCGTATTTATTTTAGTGCCCCGAGTGGCAGATGACGTCACCTCGCTCAACACAGGGACTTCACGCTCTGATCACTCTGTCGCCTTTGACGATACAGACAAACTGAGCGATAACTTGATTAATATTTTTTCGAGACTCACTCTTTTTACAGTTTAATTGTTTTTTGTGTAAATAAAAAGATCACTACAAATTCCGGACGCAGTTAATTTAAATGTATTTTATTTTCCGTAGCCGCCTTTTACTATATACCATCTAGTTTATTTATATTAATTATCATGTCTACAATATCTTTCTTGTGATTTATGTATTTATTCAGTTCACAGTTTTATGATAGCCAACTTTATGTTTCCATAAAATCGAACGTAAATCGCACGTGACCTTGCTCGGGACAGTGAATTTAAAAGCGAGATTTTAGTTGTCCAAAGCCCAAACGCGTATACCAAAAGAGGAATGAAATGCGAGAACATTTCTGAACACACATCAGGACGAAATAGACAAGAGTTCAAGCGTTTAAGTCATAAAATTCAGAGTCGTTATCTCGGTGACGTCAGTCACTTACCGTCCGGAATCCGAAATCAGAATTTTTACGACCACCGCTCGTTTTACGCCCCCTTTACGGGCACTCAATCGCACGCATCGCAAAAGGTTGGACGTGTTTCAAAACTGTATCCCAACTTTGACTAGTCTTTGCACTTTGATATTTAGTTCGATACATTCTGTTTTTTATATTAGGAACTTTTGGAGTTGCGATGGGTACACAAACACTTGGGGTGAAGCTCATAGACACTCTGGCGTGAATATTTCCGTCTTGAGACATTAGATAATATTTTCAACCAAATTATAATTATAGCGTTAAGAGATTTTATTCAAATCTTCGAATTCCGGTAAATACTGTATTAGCAGCGGAGCTAGTAGGCAACAACTTGTATCTGCCCCTGGCATTGCTGAAGTCCATTGGCGACGGTAGCCACTCACCATCAGGTGAGCTGGATGATCGTCTGCCTACAAGGGTAACAAAATAGTCATTTTTAACTTTCGGAACTATGTACTTGTTATTTGCATAAATTTGTAAATGAACTATCGTTTTGCTTATTTCAAATTAAATTCTCAATAAAGTGATGTGACTCGTCTTTCTTTACGATATTTCGTTTGACCCACTTTTTCGGTAACCAAATGCAGAGAATTCGACAATAATACGGAAAGCTATAACTTAAAAATTTGTTATGAAACATTATAACGCTGCCATGTTACGAGGTCTCCCCGCGTTCTGTATCCGCAGTGCCAGACAAACTTATTTATTGGTCTCCCACATTCCGTATCGTAAAATGTTACAGCTAAACTATTTTAGCTTCAAAACTGTCACAAATAATCCCAACTCAATAATGCTTCGCAGTAAATGTACCAACAAAACAATTTATATTTATTGCGGGTAGGCTGATGATGAATCGGATTTGCATCGTTCCGAAAATACAGGATCGTTTGCTGACAACAAAATTGTAAGTCCATGTTTATGCCCAAGAAATCTTATATGATTAATAAATTTGTAGAGCTGAAAAATTTTTAATAGTGCATTAACATTGCTTAAAGAATCTCTGTGTTATTTAAGTAACTATATTTATTCTATGTTCAACATTTTGTTGATAGCAAAAATTTATTCTGAAGCTCGGGCGAAAATTGTTCGTCCATTTCTAGGTNTAACGGTATTCACGGGTTTCGGTAACCCTTTAACACGAGGTCAGTTGGGGTTGATTCGCCGTCAAAGTCTTAAATTTATTCAATAAATCAATTTGTAATCTGTCTCCATCATTCACGATATCAACGTAAAATATTATCCAGATCGTTACCAATTTTGTGCCGATTAAATGGGATCCCAATATTTTTCCGTAATGAATTCCAAACGAACTGATATTTTAAAATGATTTAACCTTCGCCGTTCCACCTGATAATCTATTTTCGAGAAACATCATGAATAATTTATTGCGGGGAATGAAAAATTCGCGGAGAAAGCCGAAAATGTGGTTTGAACGTGGACTACTTGGATGGTCTGTTGTCGTCAATTAGATGAGGCTCTTTTAATTGCACTCAATGGCAGATGAGTGGATCAATCACTTGGTGATGAAGTAGCAAATTCTAGTATCTAGAGGTGTAGGTTAAGGTGGGAGCACGAAAAGCTAACGAGACGATCTCACAGCCAACCTGGTGCTAAGTGGTTACTGGAGCCCATAGACTAGTTGTAAATGCGCCAGCCACCTTGAAATATAAGTTCTAAGGTCTCAAGTATAGTTACAACGGCTGCCCCACCTTTCAAACCGAAACGCATTACTGCTTTACGGTAGAAATAGGCGGGGTGATGGTACCTACCCGCGCAGACTCACAAGAGGTCCTCCCACCTGTAAAAAAGCGAGTAATATATTACAATTAATAAAATTTATAATAAATCGTGAAATTTTCGCAGGTGAAAATCCCCTCGCGATGCAACGTGGAGCTGCATCTGCGTTATCCCATCCACTGGCGTCTGCGGTCGTTTTATTCATCAGCTGACGTTTGGCCGGCGCTTGTCTGCGCCATCTATAGTTCCAAACACCACCGTTTTTTATAAATCAAATTAGTTTTAAAACTTGTTAAATTGTTGTGATGGGCAATTTCATTGTGATTGTGTCTTTAGCCAGTGGCGGTAAACGAGTTATTGGAATGTAATTATTGGTAATTCCAAAAGCAATGTTAATGCATTTCTAATAAGATGTCGAGTTAATCGTTTTCCTAATTTTAACTTTTAGTTGTATCGTCTGAGTTTTTATGGGATTTTGAATGGATTTTATTGAGAAGATTGAAACCAATTCATCTTGCCAAGATCGTAGTTTTCACGGTGATGTATTTGTTAAAGTGTTTTAAGAGATCGTATTTAATTTAGTGCCTCGAGTGGCAGATGACGCCACCTCGCTCGACACAGGAATTTCACACTCAGCACACACTCAACTTGTTTGCTCTGATCACTCTGTCGCCTTTGACGATACAGACAAACTTAGTGATAGCTTGAATAATCATTTTTCAAGACACTCTCTTTACAGTTTAATTGTTTTTTGTGTAAATAAAAAGATCACTACAAATTCCAGACGCAATTAATTTAAATGTATTTTAGTTTCCGAAGCCGCCTTTTACTATGTACCATCTAATTTATTTATATTAATTATTATGTCTACAATATCTTTATTGTGATTTATGTATTTATTCAGTTCACAGTTTTACGATTGCCAACTTTATGTTTCCATAAAATCGAACATAAATCGCACTTGACATTGCTCGGGACAGTGAATTTAAAAGCGAGATTTTAGTTGTCCAAAGCCCAAACACGTATACCAAAAGAGGAATGAAATGCGAGAACATTTCTGAACACACATCAGGACGAAATAGACAAGAGTTCAAGCGTTTAAGTCATAAAATTCAGAGTCGTTATCTCGGTGACGTCAGTCACTTACCGTCCGGAATCCGAAATCAGAATTTTTACGACCACCGCTCGTTTTACGCCCCCTTTACGGGCACTCAATCGCACGCATCGCAAAAGGTTGGACGTGTTTCAAAACTGTATCCCAACTTTGACTAGTCTTTGCACTTTGATATTTAAGTTCGATACATTCTGTTTTCTATATTAGGAACTTTTGGAGTTGCGATGGGTACACAAACACTCAGGGTGAAGCTCATAGACACTTTGACGTGAATATATCCGCCCATCTTGAGACATTAGATAATATTTTCAACCAAATTATAATTATAGCGTTAAGAGATTTTATTCAAATCTTCGAATTCCGGTAAATACTGTATTAGCAGTGGAGCTAGTAGGCAACAACTTGTATCTGCCCCTGGCATTGCTGAAGTCCATTGGCGACGGTAGCCACTTACCATCAGGTGAGCTGGATGATCGTCTGCCTACAAGGGTAACAATATAGTCATTTTTAACTTTCGGAACTATGTACTTGTTATTTGTATAGATTTGTAAATGAACCATCATTTTGCTTATTTCAAATTAAATTCACCAGTAAAGTGATGTGACTCATCTTTCTTTACGATCTTTCGTTTGACCCACTTTTTCGGTAACCAAATGCAGAGAATTCGACAATAATACCGAAAGCTATAAATTAAAAATTTGTTATGAAACATTATAACGCTGCCATGTTACGAGGTCTCCCCGCGTTCTGTATTCGCAGTGCCAGACAAACTTATTTATTGGTCTCCCACATTCCGTATCGTAAAATGTTACAGCTAAACTATTTTAGCTTCAAAACTGTCACAAATAATCCCGACTCAATAATGCTTCGCAGTAAACGTAACAACAAAACAATTTATATTTATTGCGGGTAGGCTGATGAACCGGCTTTGCATCGTTCCGAAAATACAGGATCGTTTGCTGACAACAAAATTGTAAGTCCATGTTTATGCCCAAGAAATCTTATATGATTAATAAATTTTTAGAGCTGAAAATTCCTTAAGAACACAGACGCGATTATTTAGGATGACATCATTATAACAGTGCATTAACATTGCTTAAAGAATATCTGTGTTGTTTAAGTAACTATATTTATTCTATGTTTAAAATTTTGTTAATAGCAAAAATTTATTCTGAAGCTCGGGC